CATTTGAGGAGAAAATCTTAACCGCTTTAGGTACTTTGGAGGCAAATACCTAATTACTTCATTCTCATTCCTAATCAATTGCAAAGCTAGAAACCCAAGTCGGGCAAATAGCTAGTACCTTGAATGCTAAGAAAAAGGGGAAAATGCCTTTAAATTCACCACCCAAGCAACAATTTGTTGTGGAGACCAATTCCTCTTCGAAAGGTCACACAATTGAGCATGTAAATGCAATGACCACCTTAAGAAGTGAAAGAATTGTTGATAATCAAGTTGGTGTTCACAATAAAGAGAGTGAACCGGTGCAACTAAAAGTTGACACACGTCCCGTCTCACATCCTATTCCTCATACATTGCATGTGAAAAACCCTTTGTTGAGAAAGATTTGAAAAATGATTGTGAGAAAGTTTTTAAGCCCAAGGCTCCATTTCCGGATGCCTTAAAAGGATATAATTTTCTTGAAAAACAACAAAGCAAAGCAAATGAGATAATTGATGTGTTTAGGTAAGTGAAAATCAATCTTCCTCTTTTGGATGCAATTAGACAAATTCCGGCTTATGCCAAATTTTTGAAAGATCTTTGCACTCTTAAGAGGAAGAACAAGAGCCAAGCACCAAAAAGAGTTGTTTTGACCGAGCAAGTAAGCTCTATTTTGCAACACAACACCCTCCCAAAATTCAAAGACTCTGGTTCACCTACCACTTCTTACATCATTGGTGATCATGTCATTAACTAGGCTCTTCTTGATATAGGAGCAAGTGTGAACCTTCTCCCATATCAGTTTATGTTCAATTGGGCTTAGGTGATTTAAAACTGACGTCGGTAGTTTTGCAACTAGCCGACCGATCCATAAAAAAGCCCAGGGTATTATTGTGGATGTCTTGATCAAAATTGATAAGTTCTTCTTCCTTGTTGATTTCGTTGTCATTGACACGGAATCGGTCCCAAATCCCAAGAGCCAAATTCCCATTATCCTTAACCGTCCATTCTTGGCGACCGCTAATGCCGACATTAATTATAGGACGGGGATAATGAAAATTTCATTTGGTCATATGAAGGTGAAGTTGAACATATTCAATCCAACCCCCAATGCCCCAATTCTATGGACAAGAATGAAGAAGTAAGTGTTATGGAAAAATGTCTTGGAAATGAATTTGACACAAATGAGTCTTTGCTTGGTGTTGAACAATCAATTATTTTACCTTCCAAAAGGTTTTCAAAAGAAAGTATTTTCAAGTCAAGTGTTAAAAAGGCATGGAAGCCCAAAGATTTTGTTGATCAAGACCATCAATTCCACTTGAATCAAATCCAACGAGTTCCTTAGGGAATGTTTTGTTGGGTGGGGTTCAAAGTTCTTTTTACCCCATTAAAGAGGGGATGCACACTAAAATCTTTGATCCGGGCTAAAAGAACCCAACGTCTTGCTAGAGATGTTAAACACTAGTGCTTAGTAGGGTTTTTAACTATTCCTCCCTCATTTCTATTTTCTTTTCTTTTCTTGCATCGTCTAGATACAATCTGGGATTATATATGTTGGTTAAGACCTTGATGGGGAATGCATGATCTTTCATCTTCAAATTAGGCATTTAGTGCCTGTTCGATCGATCATAAGAGATATTCGATCGATCGAACATTATCTCTACATATTCTCATCTCTCTGTTTCATCGTTCAAAGATTTTCTGCATATATCAGGTCTCTGTGTATCGTTCGAACTTTCTCTACAATCGTTCCAAGTTCCCTCGATCGATCCAGTTTTCCCTTCGATTGATCTCAGTTTTATACTTAGAAAATTTTTGAATCTCTGAAAATTTCATATCTCTGTGTATTGTTCGAAGTTGTCTGCAGGTTTTCATATCTTGGATCGATCAAGTTTCGATCGATCAGAGTTCTTGATTTCCTTCCGTTGACTTTGACTTTTTAAAATTCAAATTTCAAAATTAAAATTAAAAAATAAATAAAAATAATTTCAAAAATCCAAAAATATTTTAGATTTTCAAAATTAAAAAAAAAAAAAAAATTTAAAAATATTTTGTCATTTTGTAGGTTCGATCAATTTGAGCACCTTCATGATCGATCCAGGTTCGATCGATCGGATGAACCATGTAATCGATCACATATGTCGGGACCAGTTTTTAAAAAATGACCCAAGGGTCATTTGGATCATTCATTGAATTGATCCAAAGCCCTCTCTCTCTCTCTCGACGCTTCCTTCATCTTCCCCATCTCTAGTGAAACTCCGGCAAGGTCCCAAGGTTCAAATCTCCATCTCATATCTCGATCTCCTCTCTTTTCTCTCTCTGGGTCCTCTTCTCTCCTTTATCTTTGGTAAGTTTTTCATTTTCCTTTCCGTTTTGTTTTGTTTTCATGTTGAAAGTGTTGCCATGCTTAGATTCCATATTTCAATGATTGATTTTGTTTCCATTTTTGGGTTTGCAAGCAAGTTATCTATATGTATATATGTGTATATATAGATTTTGTTTTCGAATTCAGTTCAGGGGTCACGTGCCATCTTAAGTGACCATTTGTGCATTGTTGAGGTGTATAAGGCGTCATGAGCCTTGAAGTGACCATTAGGATGCGCACCGTGTCTTCCACGTCATGAATGGTTGATTTTTCATTTCTTAACAAGGTCGATCAATTACACCAGTGCCTCGATCGATCCAACTTGGATCAATCACATTTTTTCATGATCGTTCGAACTTCACTATTTTGCATAATTGATGCCCCTATACCTCTATTGTGTCCATGCTATTATATTTATGCCCAATGCCTCTGTTTTCCACATTAGTTGCATTCCATACTAGTCATGTCTAGCATGTTTCACATTATTTGATCATTCAATGTTTATACTTGGCTTGCATGACCATTTGCATAGATAGATTTATGGATTTATGTATCGTGATATTTGCTACATTTTGAGCATCGTTTTGTCCATCTTAATCTAACAAGCATGCTTCTATCTTTTATGCTTTCAATTATGTATCTCATATATTATTTCCTATTACTAACTACAATTGCAAGTGTTCTTTCTTTTTGTAGGCCATGACTAGGTTCAAGACCATGGCTAACCGGACCTATAACCGCCGAGTGCGACGGTGGATAGAGGAGCCTAAGGAGCCAACTCCTGCTCAGTTCGAGAATTACTCCTCTTCCTCATCTTCTTCATCATCTCAGGGTGGTGAGCCCAAGCCACCTACTTCACCTGCTCCAGTGCCACCACCGGTACAGCCTGACATTACCCAAGACAAGGTAACTCGGAGGTATGCGCACCTTTCAGTGGCGCATGAGTCCATATTTGATGAGGATTCCTTTACATGGTCGATCACGACCAAGTGGTCATATGATGAGATATACCGTCACCATCTTTCTCATATTTTGGCACCAGTTGCCAATCTAGTTTACTCGAGGCTTGTTCGGCTATTTTACCAGAACCTCCGGCTAGCTCCGAGTAACTTGACCGAGTTGCAAACTACCATTGATGGGCATCTCATCTGTATTACTGTCGAGACATTAGCGATAGCCTCTCAATGCCCACATGCCTGCCCTCTGGGCATTAATTATCCGATTTTACAGCCTTTATTTACAGATATGGCCACAGCCCTTCATGGCACCACTACTGCCGCCGATACTTATGCCACTCGGACCTACTTGCTTGACAGCATGTGGTTCTTTGATTCGGTTTTATACCAAAATGATTTTATGGCTGGGCACAAGATCTAGAGGTGGGCAGATTTCTTAGCGGCTTTATATGCCATCTTTATAAGGCATTGGTTTTCAGTCCCTGCACTCTATTGGAGTGTCATGATGAAGCTGTATGTAGATTTTATTAACAAGAATAACCCGAAGTGGCCCAACTTCCTCCCCTATGCCCATTTGATTACACAGCTCCTCTGGGACTAGCACTATCTATTTGACTCGGAGGAGGACATTGAGACTGGGGCATGCCACTACAGGAAGAAAGACTAGAATAAGAGCTATAATGCTCTTATCAAGAGTCTGGAGGTAGAAGCAGCTCAGGCGGCGGAGGATCTGGAGGCTAAAGATGAGGCAGCAGCAGCAGAGGCACCGGCGGCGGAGAGAGCTCATATAGATGTTGACCTGGAGCAAGAACCTCCAGTAGGGTCACCACATCACTCTCCGAAGCAGAGCCATCATTCGCAGAGTTAGGACAAGCATCAGCCTCCTGATGACTCCAGATTTGCACGTCGGGATGATCTAGTCATTCCAGACACTCAGGCTTAGACACACAGCTTAGGGGAGCGTATCTGGACATTAGAGGATGCAGTCGTCTCCCTCCGAGCAGATGTGACCACTCTCCGCACGGATGTTATGACAGCGCTGCAGGACATTTCTAGATATATCCGAGGTTTACGCCATGCCAGACTGTCTTCATCTGCTTGACCCCTCTCTCTCTTTATTTTATATATATACTCAGTGGCGTAGCCAGGAATTTCCTTCAGTGGGGGCAATTTTTAGTAGCAATTATATATATATATATATATATATATATATATATATATATATATAATTTGAACCAAAATAATATATGTAAAGACTAAAACATTGATTCATAATATTTCTATTCAGTACATTCACAACTGCCCTCGATGATTTTTCATATTCTGAAAGCTTTAAAAAATAATATCATTGTCAACAGTACTAAATATGTCTCTCTCACTATACACAACCATCATATCATTCATCCATTGGTCTTCCATTCGATTACGCAATCGAGTTTTCAAAATATTCATGGCAGAAAAAGCCCTCTCCACTATGGCAGTAGCAATTGGCAAAATCTATGCCAATTTCAAAAGCAAGTAAACTAATGGATAAGCCTTGTCTCTTTTTGTTTTAACCATTCTTCGGGCAAGATCACCAATTCCTTTTAAATTTGAAAACTCCTTGTTAGAACACATATCAATAATATAAGTGTTAAGTTGATCACCAAGTTTCAGGAGGTCTAACGGAGCAAAATCTCTCGGATAAAATTCAGCAAGTTGGATTAGTTTTCTTTGTCAAAAGAAGCAAATGAATCATCTGGACACAAACACGATATACAAATAAGCAACTCAGTGTTTGACTCACTGAAACGACTATTCAGCTCTTGAAGTTGCATGTCCAACACAGCATAGAACAATTGCACATGATAGTAATGCAAATTGGTGATTTCATTAGCTTTACGTCGTGATCGCCCTGGAGTTACAAGTGTATCATTCATGTTGGGAACTTCAATACCATATTTTTCACAAAAAGAAGAAACTTGATCGAGTAAAGAATCCCAACCATTCTCTCTCATCATTTGAAGTTCTTTCTTGTATACTTTAATCAAGGACATAGCATTTACAATGTCTTGATTTTTCTTTTGCAGCGCCTTTGACAATTCATTTGTAACTCCTAATACAACCCTCATTAAATGGAGAGTAAAGACAAAACCGAATGATTGCATGAGTGTCAATAAAATTTTTGCTTCAGATCTCTGTTCAACATATGATCCATCATCTATAATTATCTCAAGCACATCAATAACAGATGAGAACATGGAAATCAAGCTGATTAAAGTATCATAGTGAGAGCCCCAACGTGTATCACTAGCACGCTTCAAAATGGTATTCTGATTAAGACCCCGTCCACTTTCAATTTCACCATTATTGAGTGCTTCAATAACCATGGTAGCTTGTTTTTCATGAAGAATATCACGACGTTTACATGAAGCCCCAACAACATTGACAACATTAGCAACATAGCTAAAAAAAGTAGTGACATCAACATGACTTTTTGCAACTTTCACAAGAGCCAACTGTAGTTGATGAGCAAAACAATGGACATAAAAAGCACATTTATTTTCCTTTAAAATTAGTGTTTTAAGACCATTAAATTCACCTTGCATATTACTAGCTCCATCATATCCTTGCCCGCGCAATCTAGTTATACTCAGTTCATGCTTACAAAATAGTTCATCAATTGCCATCTTAAGTGAAAGAGCAGTGGTACTTGTAACATGTTCCACAACTATAAAATGTTCAATTACATTACCATCCATATCCATATAACGAAATACAACAGCCATTTGTTCTTTTGTTGATATGTCACGAGATTCATCAATCATGATAGAAAATAGTTCATCTCCAATATCACTACTAATAACGTTAATAGTTTCAATGGCAACAACATTCACAATATCCTTTTAAATATCAAGTGAGGTTAACTTAAGATTTTCAGGAGCATTCTTTAATGCTACTGATTTAACATCCTCATTATGATTAGCAAGAAACTTTAAAAGCTGGAAGAAATTTCCTTGATTACTTGAATGCTCAGATTCATCATGACCACGAAATGCAAGCCCTTGTTCTAACAAGTACCGAATGCAATCAATTGATGCAGTCAAACGCTTTCGATAATCAATTCGAGTCTGGTCTGATTGCTTGACAATTATTGTTTGAATGTGTTGATTTTGATTCTTTAAAGCTTCATATTGATTCCAAGCTTGGTTGTGGGCACTATTTGGCCCTCCAACATGAATTTGAAGTCTGTCTTTCTTCTTCCAATTTAAAAATCCTTCACTAACAAAAGAGTCACCACCTAATTGTTCTCCTATATTATGCTTAAAAGATAGCAATATAAACAAAATAATGCATCTTTTGAAATGCTGTATTCTAACCAATTAGAATAATCATTAAACCAATCAGGATTAAATCGTCTTAACGTTGATGCTTGTCCAAATTTCTTTTGTGGAAATTTATGTTTCCGAGGTTGACAAGGACCCTTAAGTATATATGCTCTACGAATTTGGTCTTGAATATTGGGATTGTAATCTGTAATCCTAGTTCATAACCCAAGATCTGAAGGAAGATTTAGTAAGTCAATTTCCATACGACTTTTTTTTGGGTTGTCATCATTTCTTTCTTGAGGTTAATTTGAAGGAAGATTTGGTAAGTCAATTTCCATACGACTTTTTTTTGGGTTGTCATCATTTCTTTCTCAAGGTTCAGGGGATAGTAAGTCTTGTATTCCTTTGTGATATCTTTTCAGAGTATTCATTGCTATTTCAAAATTGAGTTCATTCAAATAATAAAATAAATATACTAAAAAAACAATCATATTCAGTGAATGAAGAATAAAATATGAAAAAGAAAATAACATAGTTACTTAAATCTTACTGTTCTAATATATTATATAACACATATGTAAAAAAAACTAAAAATAAAATTACAAGATAATTGATAACCAATTTCATTCCAAAAAATTTCATGTTAACAAACATTCTTAATAAGTAATAACTACCATGTCTATCAATCTACTCATAATAAAAATTCATTCATATTAAAAATAAAATAAAAAGCAAAGATATGAAGATAACTAACCTTAGAAGTTAAAACCATATAATCCAATCAATCAAAAAATTTGATAGAGTAAGTGAATATGTGATTTCATTGATTTAGGCTGCAAGCTTGCAAATAAAAAAAAAAAAATCTTAAGTCTTATTTATAGAATAATAATTAGTAACACAATTACACAAACTAAATTTTGAGAGAATAAGCCCTAAAATAGTTTTGATAGAAATAACTAATAATTTTTCTAATTAAAATTATAATATCAAATAATAATCGTAAATTTAGATGATAAAAAAAATAGTATGACTTACCGAGTCTCTGTCTATTGGTAAAGTGGTATGCTTGCTCCGCTTGCTTTTTTTGGATTGTGAATTTGTGAAATGTTGAAGACTCGTGGAAAGAAAAATATTGAAGAATGAAAAATTGAAAATGCGATGGAAACAACGCATTTGCTTATGGTAAAGTTAAAAATGCGATAATATCTTGTATTTTTTGGAAAAAGTGGGAAAGAATATTATATTTTGAAAAAGTCAAAAAAAATATCATATTGTTTGGGAAAGTAGAATATAATATTTTGGGAAAGTAGAAAAAATATTATATTTTGTGGGAAAGTGTAAAACTGTGAACGAGCTTCTGATATTATATATATAGTATATATATATATGTGCACCGTCAAACCATAAAATCTTTCCCTATAAAATTCAAAAAAAAAAAAAAAAATTAAAAGTTTAGTGGGGGCAGTTTCCCCCACTTGTCTGTGGCTACGCAATGTTTATACTTGTGCTCTTATACTCTAATACTTTGATACTGTTATTCCATTTTTGCGGCCAATTTGTTGTCTGATCACTGTGATGTATCTTATACTATTTTTATTTTTATATATTTTTGATGTCAGGTTTTTATATTGATATATTTGTTTATGATTGACTTCGCTATCAGGTGCATTCCAGTGCCTTCAGTGAGAGAGTGCTAGCCATACTTTTTCAGGACCATCTTTACGTACTCTCTCTCTCTCTCTTTTTCATTTACTTTCCCACTTACACTTGCATGCCCACTATGCACCATTATTATCCCATTTGTTATTTGATGAGTTTTTATTCTAGCGCCATCTTTTCAGGACCATAGTTAATCCTAAGTTTGGGGGGTTATACCACCCACTTTGGATACTTGTGTCTCGACCATTCATTGCCATAGCTACACTGGTATACTCTTTCCTATTTCTTTTGTTCTCTTTGCACATTGAGGACATTGTGTTATTTAAGTTTGGGGGTAATGTATGTTCTTTGCACTCAATTCAAGATTTTGAGTATGACTTATGTATTTGAGGTTTTTATGATTGGTCCATGTCTAGCTATAATTTTGATCTTTTGAGGACTATATTCCTTATAATTTAAAAATTGCTTGACTTGAGAGTCCAATACTCCTTGTATATTTTATTGATGCCATTTAGGAGTAAATTTTTTGAAACATTGATATCATGCTTGCACTTGTGGTCCACATCATCTTGATTTTGTGATTATTAAGAGATTCACTCTAGAATTCTACACTAGCATAGGCGTACACTAGCATTCATTTGTGGGGTACATGCTTTGTTGATTATTGATTTAGTTACATTCCAATTGAGCTAGTAGTGCATTGAAAGCTTTCATTTTTTATAAAGGTAGATAACAACCCCATTTTACTAAGTAGCCAAGATTCTAGCCTCATCAAGCACTGAATTTCTCGCGCTGAAAGGTGGAGGGTCCAAACTCTAGGTTAATAACTTGAAAAAAAAAAGCAAGTTTGCAAAAAGCAAATAAAAAAATGAGGACTTCTCCCAAAAGGTGAGAAGAGGAAAATGATTAGATGGAGGTTATTTTGATTTGTAGCCTAGTTTATTTGAGCTTGTAAGTCCTTAGGGGTGTTTAAACACCTAATGCCCTAAAGCCGTTCGGTTTGGGAGTCATTAATTTAACGCTCGATCTCATAGATCGCTAGAAAGCTTAATAGATTAACACATTGCACTATGTTTCCATCTTTGGTCCTTAGGGATAGAAAAAAATATATATATTCGAGTGAAAAGAATAAGCGCACCTAGTTGAATAAAGCTTTAATAAAAGGTTCATTCTTTGTCTTGATGATCGGTACTAGATTTGTGTGCTAGTTTGAGGCCAGATGTGATCATTTCTTTAGTTGGCTTAGATAGTAACATATTTAATGCCGGTTCACTTAAAAAGGATTCTAGAGTTGTTTTGATTTGCATGATCATTGTCTTGATGTATGGAGGACCAAACTTACTTGCTTGATGTTGAAATTTTGGGAGATTGCTTGGAAATGATTGAAAAATTGCATATTTGAGGTAGTTTTCTCCCAATGCTTGTTTGGAATATTGGTGCCTCTTTAGTGAGAAAGAGCTTAATGTTTGTGGGTATCATTTTTGGAAACCTTTACGAGACTTCACTCATCCACTAGGGGTAACCTAGGGTTTAAAAGGCTTGTTATGTGTGCTAAATGTAATCGTGTTCCCTACGAAAATAGCGTTATCCATTTATTGCTTTCTAGTCCTTAATTGTTTAGTTGTTCATTTCTTTATTTTCTTCGTAGTTCATTGCTAGAGACTAGCAATATTTAAGTTTGGGGGTGTGATAAGCACTGAAAAGTGCGAATTTAAACCCCTTAAGCTTGAATGTTTTAGGACCTTATTCTATCTTATTTTTTTATTTTAGTCTAATTTCATGTTATTTCTCTTTTCAGACACTTATTCTCAAAATAAGTCAATTCAGCTAAATTAGAGCATTAAAAGAAACAATCTCAAGCCTAGTGAAAGAAAAGAGCAAAGTGCCATGATGGATTGAGCCTTTTGTCACTATCTTTATGAAAATTTCCCTTTCGATCGATCCAACTTTTCTTTCGATCGATTGAACATTTTTAATCTTATTCTCACCTACCACTTTTGTCCTTTTCCCAAAAATATCCCAAAAATATCTCAGCCTTGTCCTTATCCAAAAAGTGCACCACCATAGTTCGATCTATCCAAGCAACCTTGTGATCAATCGAATTACCTCAAGTGCGTGAAAAACAGAGTTCCAATCAAATAAAAGGTGTGCTCATGGTACAATCATTTGGAGGTCTTAATGCACGAGGTCTAACCATTGGGTGTGACAATTGAGCTACCTATATAAGGATTTTGGCTATTTTGAGTAAAGAGGTTGATTAGGTTTTGACAAGAGGCTAGAGATTAAAGAAAGAAGTACACCATTTGGAAAAGTTCTTCCACTCATCTAGGGTTTCTACCATGAACACAAGGAGAGGATGATGATTTCTACCATAGAGATAGCCCTTGAGGGTTGGATGATAACATCAATGAGTGGCTAAACCATTCTTTTGGGCTAGAGATAGCCCTAAGCATGCCTCATAAACTTTGATGTTTTGTAATTAATGGGGATTTGTATTGTAATTCTTGTCTTGACATCGTATATATATATATATATATATATATATAAATCTTGCTTCTACAATGATTTGTATAGTTTAATACTTCCAAATGATCATTTAATTCTATCCATATGTCTATGTATGCTAGAATGAATGTTCATGTATGATATCTCTAGATTTTGTGACATTGATGCATGTTTATTTGTGTTAATATTATGAATCTAGTGATGGTCAAGACATAGTGCTTGAATAGATTACTCTTGTGGTTTGTTTGATGGTTCATACTTATTTCTTGATAAATTGTGCCACCTTCTTACTTTAATTAGTTTAATTTTCATCTCACTAGCTTAGTTGTAGTGTAATTGCCTTACTTTCTTAGATAGGTGGACAATCCATGCTTGTTGTTTGATATTCCATGCTTATGAATACAAGTAGTATATTTCTCTAATTTAATGAGTGTACATTAATTGTGGATTTATAGAAGGAGTAATGGCTTAATTTGATATGTTGTGCTATTCACTAGATTAACTAGACAATGTATGCTTACTTGGCCATCCTTGCTTGACAATTCAATTAATGGCATGCACTTTCATTTATAACACGCAATCCCCCTAACCCATCAAATATTGAATGTCTAGGAAGGTAAAGCTTAATAGTGAACTCTATAACCCATGACTCCTTTCTCATATTCTCTACACCTCATATTGTTTTAGTTGTTTTACATTACATTTATTTAGTTTAAATTGTAGTCTAATTTAACCAACAAACTATCTTTTGATCATTCGACTTACTAATCCAGTATTGTTCCCACAAGAATATGCTTCCTTTTTCTTGGGACGATCCCTA